GGATGAGACCCGCGGGGTCGGCAGTAGCGGTGTGTGGGGATGCGGATAATTATTAACAGCTCCAAACCGAGCACCACCGGGAGGGAATTCCCTGGAGAATTTAATTAAATTCTTCACCTTTCCAGCCTTCTCGCCACTTCGTTAGGCGCCTGTGTGAAAAAATACAGCACAGGGGCGTATTTGTGGGCTCCAAGACCGGGTTTTGGATTCGTTACCATTTAAAGACCGGGGACTGCTAGCAAACGGCAGGATGCTTTGCCATCCCCGGTGATTGTCCTTCCCGTTACATTAATTAATTACATTAATTGCCATCTACAGCATCCCTTTGAAAATACGAAAATGGTGATTAGGCACGTACAGTGCTAGTTTGTGCTTTGAGATGCAGCCTTCCACCGGTGATGGACTGGACTGTACGTCACGGTTTAGTGCAAGCTGTCGGCACCTCTTTTCTATTTTTATGTGCATTTTTTATTAATTATTATTCTTAGCAGTGCAGATTTAGATCAAGGTGCCGCTTGCTCGATGAAGCCCTTCGGTTCCGCATCCAGCCTTGCAACCAGAGAGATATGTTGATTTTGTTTTTCCTTATTTCAAGGAAGCTTTAGGATGTTATTTTCTTTCTAACAGCGTTCTTCGCCCAAAGCGCCTGACAGACAACCCTCAAAGCGGCTAAAATGTGAAAACACCAGTCCAGTAAAATCAGAACCAGAAGGATTTGCGTGTGGAAGTGGAAACCTCGCTGCGCTGGGGGAAACGCCTGAGACATCTGATGGGGATCAGCATCCAGAAGATCCAGGAGACAGCAATATAATTCAACAGAAGAAGGGGGAAAACATTCCAGAGGCTGAGGAAGAGGAACAGGAAAAGGAGCAGAGTGTTCCTCTCCAGCCACACGCAGTGAAATCAAGCATCGCTCCACCAAAAATGGACAGTGGTGAAAATCTTGGCTACAGCGAGGAGGAGAGCACCCGGGAGAGCATGCTGTCAGATGGCTCTGGCTTGGAGGACCTTGCAGATCTCCCGAAGAAGCTGACACAAGCAGACCACAGCGCTTTCCTGGATGAAGACAGCAACCAGCCGATGCCGGTGCACCGGTTCTTCGGAGACGTTGAGTTTATGCAGGTGAGGTGGTGGCAGTCTGTTCACCCTCCACAGGCTCAGCCTTGTGTCCTCAGACAAGACCAGGCTAGGCTCACAACTGTAGGTGAGCTTGGCCAGCATCAGTGGACATCTGAAGTCGTGTCTGTCCCCTAGATAGAACTGGCTCAATCAGAGATGAAAGGAATTGCCCAACAAAATTAATTTCAGATGTGAGGTCTTTCTTACTTAGATTGTTTAGCCCAACTCCATAAAATAGGTATTTTTGCTCATAAAGAGCTGTATGGTGGAAACACAGCGTTATTGTCAAAATAGTTTGGCTATTGGCTCTTAATCGTGATTATTGTCATTCTTTGAAGTGGAAACCGGTTTCTGGCCACCTCTGCTTTTGGACTGATCAGGGGCCAGAGCTTTAAGTTCAAATCCCAGGTCTGCCTTTAAGGTTGCACAGCTTTGGGGAAGGGATGCTCCCTGCTTTGAGGTGTTTCCTGAGGCTTGGCGTTTAGCGGGAGCTGAGCTCCTCTGCCTGAGCTTTGGGTCTGCGCCACCGCTTCCAAGCGCAGAGGTGTGCGTTGGTGCCTCGTGTACCCGAGTGGAAGCGCGTGAGCTGTGTGTGGAGGGGTGGGAGGTCTGCCATTCGCCACAGCTGACTTCCCCTCATGGCTTTACCTTTCCCTTAAAGGACCTCCCAGCTTTTCCACTCCCAGGCACGGCGGCGAGCAGGCGAGAATTCAGAAAGCTGCACTTCATTGCAAAGGAAGATGAGGAGGAGGAGGAAGAGGATGCTGCCTAACAACAAACTGTAAATAAATGAAACCTTTATTTTTTTTCCTTTTCCTTTGCAACCACGTAACGATGCCTGGCTGTGCCGTGAACATAAGGTGTCTGCGTTTGCCTTTTCTCAGAGAGACAACTGGTGGAGTTTGTTTTTCTGGAACTGGCACAGTATTTCCTCAGTTATCTGGGGCAAAGATTGACTGAGCTGTCAGTGACCTGGAAAGAAATTGTACTTAGGAAAAGGACAGGGGGAAATACACCTTCTTGATGCTCTTTTATGAATTTGGGCCTGTGTCTAGGGCCAACGTTTGGTCTTCTTCCTCCTTGTTTAAAAACAGCCAAGCTGTGTTAGAAAACGGCCCTTTCTCTTTTAATTCTGCGACGTCTGCCCTTGCCCCCATCTAAACCAGAACCAATCAGAGCTGTAAAATGCGGCTCTGGATGTCGATGGGAGGTGAGTGGTGCTGGTATCTGGGAGTTAAGCCCATTTTTATTGCCTGTCCGTTTTCTGCCTGCCCCCCTGTCCCTCCACACCAGGCACAGCTGCGTCACGCAGCTGGAGCGGCGTTTTCAGTCGACTTCCAAGGGTTTTGAGCAGGGGCTGTGTCAACAAAGATATTGGTGGTGATAAAGGAGGAATGGAATCTCTCAGTGTAGGACGTGTCCATAAATGAACAAGTGCTGACTGCTAGGGCTGCGGGTCAGTCCACCAGATCTGTTCTCCTGGCCTGCGCTTGAAGGTCACAAGCGACATCGGCTCATTTCAGAGCTGGGAACTCATCTGATGTGTGTAATACTTCTTTGAAAGTGGGATTACGCAATAAGCTTCTAGATCTTTATTGTTATAAATAGCTCCTTCTACGTTTCTAAAAATACAGAGGGAACGTTATCAGCAGATGGTTTAAATAAATATTAATTTCTACAGCTATAGCCTGTTAAACATGCAAAAGTTGTAAGCCAAACAACTTGTCTATGCATGACATGTTAATTTATTCCCATTTCCACTCCAGCTGATGCATTGTTTCTGTCAGCGATATTTCTTGGCTCCCTTTTCGCTCCAGTTCTGTAACACAGGAAAAACCTCATTTTTCAGTGGCGTACCCGTGGTTTTCAGCACAGCTCCTTCTTGCAGCAGCTCTCCTCAAACGCTGTGTTTGCTCCTGTGTCTTCCTAGCGAACCCGTCTGCACCCACAGACGTTCGTTTGGGTTTCAGCACTGGGTGGAATGGGGGTTTTCAGTTTGCAGGACGTGTGCCATAGCGATGATGGTGTTTGCCACCAGAACCCGAGCCGAGCTGCCTTCCCCAGTGTCAAACTGCATCTTGTGTGCGTTCCCATCCGTTACCCACGGCGTGAGTTCACTGAGGCAGCCTGCAACCATCGATTCAGTGCATCGGCATTGGAAATCCACTATTTAAAAGGCATCTACTGCCTTCTCCTATTGAAATGCACCGAGTTTGTTGTTTCAAGAAAATCAATGCTCTTGTAGCAAAGCTCCTGCATTTCCGAGACTGAGTAAGTTGTGGCTCACGCAGCAATGGGATCTTAATGCCTTTCTGCATGGCCTGGCTGGGTTTCACAGAATCCCAGAATATGAGGAGT